TGTTTTCACCTCCCTCTTCTTGATGAATGGCTGCTGGCACCGAACAAGGTAGCCAAAGAAAAATCGCCATCTAACCTTCAATTGCAAATCGGGCTGCAGGATTCTCTCCAACGTCCAGGTTGCTGGCGAGCGGCTTCAAGTGTCTGACAGTTGCGTCCAGCTCCAAAGTTTGACTAGGTGCTTCGCGGTACGACGGTCAGAACGGGAGGATCAGTCCTCATCCTAGTCGTTGTACACACGTATTTTGGGGGGTGTAAGGGGGTTGCTATATCTGGTCCTTCGTCTTTGGGGCTGCGTGTTCTTGCTAGTACTCTGCCAGTCATGACTTGTACTGTATGCTGCAACATGTAGTAGTTTGTCGATGGCGGCTTTTTTGTTGGGTCAACTTGTACTATGGTCTGCTGCAACAGATCGTCATAACTTTTGGGTCTGGGGCTTGGGTCAACTTGTTCGGGGCTATCTAGGGGCTATCGTGGGTCATCTTTGGGTCAGCGTTGGGGCTTTCAGGGTGTATACTGTCTGTAGGCTTTGTTTGTTTTGGGTCTATTCTTTTGTTCTTGTTAGCTGTGTTTATAATTTGTGTCGCGCTCGTTTGTGTGCTCTACCTGGTGGTGTTGATTTGGGCGTGATGTTGGCAACTTTTAGTTTCATCTGTGTTGCCGCCTCTTTCACTTTTTCCCACACCACGTCCGGTATTTCGTAATCTTGTTCAAAGTCGAATGGTCCGTATACACCGTATTCAACAATGTTGATCTCTTTCTGGTACCAGGCGTATTTGTGCGGGCTCTTGTTTAGCACCTGGTCTACTTTGCTGGGTCTGATGGGTACTGTTGGGCCGTATGTTGTCTTGTCGGTGAATTCTTTGATTAGGGGCCAAAAGGGGCTGGTCATTGGGGAGCCTTGCTTTGTAGTGGTGGGTTTTGGTATGTACCACTTGCAGTGATGCTGTCATTTTGTTTGTGCTAGTTTCTTGTTGGTCTCCTCCATGTCAATTTGTATCACGTACCAGTTGTTCCACCCTGATGTGTCGTCTTGATGGGCTATGACATATAATTTGTCCTTGGATTGTGTGGTTCGTTCGTATAAGCTCTGTAGATTGAGTTCTTCTGTGATGGTTTCTGTGGTATGGACCTGTCTGGTTTGATTGGCTCCTTCTGTATCTGTTGGTGGTACGTCTCTGTTAATCGGCCAAGGCTGCGTGCGTTGGATAGCGTCCAGTATAGATGGTGTAGGGGTGTCGTCTTCTTCTTCGTTTGATGAATCTTCCATTGGCTCAACTTCTTTGTCCCAAATGTCTTTGATTGGCTCAAATGCGTTTTCTGTGTCTGTCGGTGTTGTCGCGTATTTACCAAAATCAACCAGTCCTAGATTCATATCCAGGGGGCTGTGTGCTAGCGGGCTCCTCATGTTTGCTAGTCTTGTATCTTGTGTGTCCACTTGTTTGTGTAGTATTATTGTCGATGGGATCTTGTGCATTCTGAATGCTGATTCTTTGATTGGGGTTGATCCTCGCTTTTTTAGCATGGTGCTTGTCCCTGGGATCTTTTGTAGTCTGTATGAGTCTTCTGACGCTTTCTCGATGACTCTATAGGGTCCTTTTGTTCTTAGCACCAGTTTTGCTGGTATTCCTGCAGAGGCGTTTGATTGTACTTGTTTTCGCACCATAACAATGTCTCCAATTTCAAATTTCCGTCGCGTTCTGGTTTGATTCTTGAGCATTCGATGGTGTTCCCTTCGTTCCTCATTGAGAAGTTTAAGTAGTTCTTTTTGTCTCCAGAAGAGTGGGAACATTGTCTCGATGTGCTCTAATGTGTTCTGTCCTGGCGTTTGCTGGTGTCTTGTCCTGTTTTTCTGACGGGCCTCCGATATTGACAATGCCGCTGCTGCATTGTCTAGTGGGAATTTGAAGTGTCGTGCCACTGCTGCGAATGCTCGTTGGACATCCGTGCCATCTACTGGGGCTGCGTTCCACGTGTATGTTCCAAACATAGTGTTCATTGCCCATTCTTTGTATGTGTTCATGTCGGCTGCTCCGATTCGTTGCACTTTGTTGAGGTATTTGTGGAATCTTTCACATAGTATTCCGTCGTGATTTTCCGGACTGACCGTGTGGTATGCGATTCTGATCGTGTGGCATAGGGCTGTAAATTGATCTTTGTTTTCGCTGCCTTCATTGATGAGGATCAATCGTGGCAGGCCTCTGACGGTGAATAATTGCGAGAATGCTATTCTGGCCATGTTCCCTGAGTTCATGGAGCTGATGAATGCGACTGTGGCGCAACCTGTCATGTTGCAAACGTAAGTGACTACTCCTTTGTTCGTGAGTGTCTTCCTCAAAGTTGTGGACAGTTTGGTAGCATTCTTTGTTGATCCTGGCGACCAAACGTCCATCCAACATACGTCAAATGGTTCTTCTATTGGGGTCTGTTGTAGAATCTTTTGGTTTTTGTGGCTCAATGCGTTGGCTGCATTGCAATGTCCGCATCCTAGGACTGCTTCTCTGATATCCTTTGCCATCCCGAGCCACCAAAACCTTGCGGCTATCCTGTAATACGTCTTGTGGAACCCTACGTGTCCTGCCATTGGTGATGCATGGTATGCTGCTATGATTGTGGCTCTCAATCTTGGTGGGACGACCGCTCGTCGCAGCTGACACATGGGTGCCGACTTCGGTTCTTCAAATTGGTATAGGATGTTGTTTTCAATCTCTAGCTTATCTCTGTTGAGTTCTGAGACATACGTGGGGTTTGTGAGCTTTGATCTGTCTACCTTTTTGTTGTTGCGGATTGCCTTGATGATGTGGCTGATGTCTGGGTCTCCGTTGCATTTCTCTCGCCAGTCTTCTCCTGTTGGGATCGGTAGCGTTGTGAATGGGTTGATGGATCTGCTGACTATCGCTGTTAGGTGTTTCTTAGCATGTTTTGGTCTTGCGTACATTGTCAAGAATTTGTGTTCTGTTTTGTCCGATAGGTGTTGTCGCTGAATGTTTTTGCACATGCTGTACGTGAACACTTGCTGCCACACCTGTTGTGGTGCTATGCTCTTCATTGTTTCTTTTGTCTCTCTCCAACTGAGTTTCTCCTCAAACAACAGTTTTCTGCTGTCCTCTTTTGTGAAACCAAACAGGCTGAGGGCTTCCCAAGGTCTGATCGTTCGGACCGGTGATGTTACCTCTGTGTCGTTGGTTGCGATTGCTATTGTGCCTTGCGCTGAGATCATGGGTGTTGTGTGGAAGCTGGGGGAGATTTTGGTGGTATCGTAGATCTCATGTTCTTGTGTGTATCCTTGTGAGTTGACCGTGTGGACTCTGTTTTATCCTAGCCTATCCCGTGTAGCTTTCGTTTGGTGCGTCCATAGCGTTTTCGATTGTTCCTGGCTGTGAGTATGGGTCTTCATCGACTAAACTTCTGCTCCATGCCTCCGTCACTCTTCTCCCGGCTGTGAGTATGATGGTGTGTTCAGTGTCTATGTCTGCTTGTGCTGTGCTGCCTCTGGTTGTGCGTTTTGCGGTTTGTAGGTCGGTTCTGTCTCTGGTTTCTCTTTTGATGTATTGTTCCCATTTGTCGATGATCTTGTCGGGTGGCTTTCCTGTCCACATGAGTATGCATTGTGTTGCTCCCTGTGTTGTTGCTTTTCTGATGATGGTGTTGATTTGTATTTTTCCATGTTGGTTACAATCAACCATTCTACTGGCGGTTGTGCTGTGTTGTTGACCAGCCTTTTGGCAAACGTTTCAATGTTTGGCATGTCGTGTTGTAGCTGCCAATATTCCTCCTTGCTGGTGCTAGCTGTTAGCATGATGGTTCCTCCAAGTAGTTTGAAGCTGTCCACAATGGTGTCTAGGGATCTTCCAATGATCCATGTTGCTCTTGCTGTGTCGCATATTTGCGCTAGTTCTGTTTGTGTTGTAATCCGGTCGCCTTTCACAGTGGGTAGTAGGTGCTGTCTGGGCCAGGGCGGTGCTTCGTCTTCTCTGAGTTTCCATGCCGCCGCAATGATTGGGTTGTCTGTGTGGGCTTCTTCTGTATTCCTCCATGTGCTTCGTATCTTGACAGGAGGTCGCATTCTGTGAGCATCTTCGCTGGTCTGTGAACTATAGTGAAGATGAATGCCAATAGCTCTAGTTTCCATCGTTGCAGTGTGTGTGTGTGTGTGATGTCGTGTTCGCCTTCGAAGAACTTGGTTAGTCCGCTGCAGTCCGTGATCCACGTAAATTCTTTTCCGATGAGCCATTGTTGGAACTTCTTCATCGCCCATCGACCTGTTGCTGCTTCTCCCACAAAGGAATGGTAGTCTCGCTCTTTGCCCTTGCATATTCTCGATACGAATGCTATGGGTCTGAGTCTGAGTTTTGACATTGATTTGTCAAATTCGCATTTTCCTCCTTCAATCTCTTTTCTCATGGACTCTTCTGCGTCGTGTCCGCTTGTAGGAGGACCGCTCCCATGGCATTGCTTGACCAGTCCGTTTTCAAGTAGAATCGTCTCTTTGGATTGGGTCTCTTCAATATTGGGCCTGTGACAATAGCTTGCTTGAGTTCGTCCAGTGTTTCGTCGTCCTGTGGCTCCCATTGTGCTTTCACTTGTTCTGCTTCCTCTTCTTTTGTGCATTCTCCGGGCTTTGGTTTGTCCATCACCATGGTCCTCCATCGTTGGATCTTTTCCTCTATATGTGGTATCCATTGGGAGTACCATCCAAATAGTCCGTTGATCATCTGGATGTCCGAGTAGGATGCTGGTGGGCATAGCTTTTCGATCGTCGAGTACTTGGATTGTGCCGGGGCGTTTCCGTTGGGCAGTAGGTCATGTCCAACCAAATTCTGCTTGTGCTGGTAGGAACCTCGTTTTTCTTAGGTTGACAGTGACTTGGTATTGTTGGAGGATTTCAAGTGTGGCTACAAAGTATGCAATCAGTGATAAGATGTTGGTGTCGAATAGCATGATGTCGTCAACGATTACTGATGCATTTGGGTCCGTTTCTAATAGAGCGATCGCCACTTTTGCTTCAATGTCCTTGACGGCGCTTTCGCCCAGGATCAGCGTGATGGCCGCTCTGTGCTTGTTGATGATGTCCAGTAGTTTTTGTAGTGCTGCTTTTGGGTCTCGTTTGTACAACTCGTGCCATTCTTTCTTGAATTGAATGGTTACACAGACAAAGAATGCGTGGGCGCTTAGTATCCCCATTGGCATCACTAGGAAGCCATCTGGTACGAAGAACGCCGTTTTCTCAAGCGGCCATCTTGATTTGCCAGTAGCCTGCTTCCAAAATCCATTGTGATGAAAAACTTTGCATCTCCAAGTGTATCCACTGCATTGTCACATCTCAGGATGTAGAAGTGGAATGGTCTTGTGACTGCATTCAGTTTGCGGTATGACACGCATAATCGGAAGATGTATTGGGACCAGTGGACGTGCCCTTGGTTTGGTTTTGCTGCCATGACTACTTGCGCTCCTCATGGCCCAAAGTCGTCCTCGATGAGTCCTTTGCTCTCTAGTTGCTCTACTAGGTTTGTCATTACCCGGCTTTCATGTGGTTTGTATCTCGGTTGCTTGCAGCACACGGGGGGAATGGCACCTGTGTCGATGTTGAATTGGTAACCTAGGATGTGTTTTTGCATCCCTTCTTTGGCAAAGACGTCCCAGTATTTCTTCAAGATTGCGTCGAATATGGGCTGCCATTCGCTCGGACAATATCTGTATTGCACCTGCGACTCGAGTTCCTCCAAGTGTTTGTCTGCATTCCATTCTATCATATCTGTACGCCTCTGCACTGGTGCTTTTTGTTTGATTACCGTCTTTCCGTGTTCTTCGAACATCCAATCGTGGGTTGCGGGACTGTCCAAGTCCACCTCCGGTTCTTCATACAAGTTTTTCACTTGCGCTCGCCAAATCCGCTTTGGAACTTTGACTGGCTTCGTCCTGTCAGGAAGCTGTCCCCGTCTGGCGATAATTTCCTCTTCCTTGGTTGCTGATGTTGCTGCAAACGTTTGATATGCCGCTTCCTCGATGGTCGTGATCATTGGATGGGCGATGGGAGAGAACCCTTGCATTCTGCTGATCTGTTTGTCGTATCCTGCTTCCAGTGCTCTTTGGCGGAAGTCTGTTGGAGTTCTCTCCCGTCTTTGTCAAAGGTTCTCGTCTGTGGTGTCAAATCTGACAGAGAATACTTTGCGATCCGATGATTGGTTCCGTTCCACTTGTTCCGTTGGGAGAAGTCTCGGGCATTTCAATGTGAGGTCAAATTCCTGGTTGAAGAAGTTGGAAATGACCGCATTCTGGTAGAACTGAGCTACCAGCTTGGCTTTTAGGATCAATGGTAATCCATAAAGTGTGTTGATCGGAAAGTCGTCCGTCAGTCCTATCATCAAAGTGTGATTCTCTCCCTGTCCGTTTTCAAAAGGAATGAAGTACTCAATGATGACTTCAATTTCCACACTGTCTTTGATTCCTCCGATCTTGATTGGAGCGTAGCGGATCTTCTGTAGGTCAAAGATCTGTTTGACAAGGTGCGGGTGTTGTTTTGCGATGGCCAGGTGGTAGTCTTTCTTGCCCATGTTGCAGCATCCTCCGGTGTCGTAGAGTCCTTTCAAGTTGGCTGTGTTGGATTTGTTGAGTCCGATGGGAAAGTTCAAAAATGCCAGCATGTCGTTGACCGAGAAGTTCAGTTGGTGGGCTTGTTCCATGGCCGCAAAGCTTCCAAAGGTGACAAATGATAGTGCCGGCTGGGTTGCGGCTCGTGTTGGTCTTTTCCTTGCTGCTGCTGTGGAAGTGTGGGCCGTGACCGCTTCGACGAGATTCACCAACAGGTTTGTCCTCTCCCCCGATTCTGTCTGTGGATCCTCGATGGCTTGAACTGTGTCGCAGATTGCTTGGGTCATATATCCTCCTCGTCTATAATGGGAATTATTATTTCTATTTCGATTGCGTTCTTCGTTCTTTTGTCGCTTCCACTGGTCCAGTTTTTCATAGAAACGTTTTAGGACTTGGGGGTCCTCTTTGTGTGGGCAGTCTCGGAAGTTGTGGCCTTCCTCGTTGCATCCCCAACAGTGGATTGGGTATGGCTTGCCGCTTGCCTTTTGCAGTGCTTCTTCCGCTTGGCTGAGCATTGTCCACCCATTTTCTTCTTCCTGCTGTTGTCCGAGTTCCTCCATGATACTCATGCACGACAGCATGTTGACAACCGCTTCCGGGCAGTATAGTTTGCTGTCGGATGTCGGGACCACTAATTGTCTTCCTTGGCCGTCGGTGACTCGAACGTTTTGTTTTGCCGCCATAGTTGGAGGGGGCGTCATTGCGGTGTGGAAGGTTCCCACGGTCTTGATCTCTGGAGCTTGGAAGGAGCGATCGTCCTGGAATTCTTGGAATCCCTGGAATCCTTGGAATTCTGGTTGGTGGAATCCCGCGAAGGCTCTTCCTCCTGGTCTTGGTGGTGCGGATCGTCCTGGAACGTAGCTTCTGTTGGGTCTGATTCGTCCCGCGCTGTTTGCAATTCCCACAAGTTGCTTGATGCGCTTCTCTTCTTTCTCTGCTCGTTCGCGTGGGCGGTGCATTCGAGACAGGTTGCTGGGGTAGTCCATAAGTAGTGGTCCCGCTGCTCCCGTCTCTAGGTGTTCAGCCACAACGTCCTTGATTTCTTGTGTGAAGGCTTGGAACGCTACTCCTGCCAAGTCTGATAGGTTGGTTGGCGGGGGATTCTCGTGGTTGAACCCATTTAGAATCGTGGCAATTCTGCCAAATAACATAGCCATGCTGTCGTACATCATCGTGGCTCCTTCGTATCGGATCATGTTGAGCTTTGCCAGTTATTGGTTTGGCGTCTCCATTCCTTGTTGTAGTCCGACGCAGGTGGCCGTGAGTGCTTGTTCGAGCGCTTGGAATTGGGTCTTTGCAATCTGTTGCTTGGACCACTTTTCGTAGGCTTTTGTTATCGGGTTCTCCGTCTCTGGTCGCGGCTCTCATCGAGAACTCTTCTCCCAATGCTGCCATTGCTGCGATGATTTCCTTGTGATGTGCTTGGTCCATTACCATTTGGCAAGTGATGGATACGTCCATCTGGTTCTGGACTCTTGGCACTGGAACGTAGACAGCTCGATTGGAAGATGGTGGGAACTTTGTTGGGTTGATTCCAATGTCAGTTTGTAGGGAACAGAGCCGTGGGATCAATTGGAGCTCGATTCTGAAGTATGTGGCGGCGGCTCTAAATGGGGCTGGAAGTCCTGGTCCCGGTCCTGTAGCAATCGCTTGTCCCGTGTTGTCGATGACATGTAGGCTTGTGAATTCGTACATGTCACTAGTCATGTCGAACAATTAGCTGGTGGCGGCGTTGACTCGCGAGCGAACGTCTGGGCATACTGATGTGTAGCGCTTCATCAAGAAATCCACCTTGTGTTCCATTTGTTGGATATATTAGGATTTTCGAAGTACATATTTGGAGAAACGAGAAAAAGAGAATGCATGTGAACGATAGAGAAATGATGTCAACTGATACGACTAAAAATGAAGACTGATGCGACTAAAAACATCGAGCGTGGCGAGTCAGAAAACGGATTATATTTCTATGGAAATCATCCTGTTGATGAT